CCCCCCCCCCTCCGCAGCCCAAAGGCCCCCTTCTCCCTCTCCCTCTTACTCTCTCTCTCTCTCTCTGTAAAAACTCCAGATTCGGAAAAACTCTCTCTCTCTCTCTCTGCAACTCCAGAAGTCGTTCTCGGATTTATTGAATCTAACTTTCTTTTAAGTTCGAAACTGCGTCGTTTTAAGGGAGGGAGAGAGAGTGTTTGTGAGGATGCAATCGAACGGCGATTCGTCGGTGCAGCAGGAGCAGAGTAATCAACGGCCGCAGCAGCAGCAGCAAGCGGCGCAGACTCAGGCGCCGCCGCCGCAGCAGTGGATGGCGATGCAGTACCCGGCGGCGGCTATGGTAATGCAGCACCAGATGATGCCACCTCAGCATTACGCGACGCCTCCGCCGCCGCCACCTCAGCACTACATGGCGTACCACCAGTACCAACAGCAACAGCAGCACGTACAACACCTTCAGCAGCAGCAGCAGTTGGGATCTAGCGGCGAGAATAAGACCATCTGGGTCGGTGATTTACACCATTGGATGGACGAGAATTATCTCCACACCTGCTTCGGTTCCACTGGCGAGGTCCAATCTCTTCTCTCTCTATCTCTCTCTCTGCATATTTATATGTACATGTACACGTCTATATATATTTATTGTACACGATTTTCATGTGTCTATTTGTATTTTATATGGATTTTTTGACTGGTAACGTGGGTATTCGTATAAAAGATGAAACTTTTATTTTGTTTTATTGGAAAATTTTGGCATTTGGATTGAAAGTTGGAAGCTTTGAGGTTTCTACTTAATTGGTCTGTAAGCATTTCGATGTTTGAAGGTTGGATTTTTCTGATGTTGTTTGTATCGTTTTTTTTTTTCATTTAATTTTCGTTTTGTGTGTGTTGGGTTTTATGGGTTCGAATATTTATCTGAACTACATTTGGTATACATGACAAAATGTTAAAGATGTAGCCTTTTGTGAATGAATGCAAGTGTTAAGCTGAACACAATTAGTAAAGGACTAAAGAGGATATGCAGTTTTGACTTTTGAGAGTAACTTGTTACTGAAAAGAAGAAGGCATTGTTATAATTGTATGCTATTGGAAATATTTTTTTTCCCTTTTGGTGGCTCATTTTGTATGAGAATGTGCAAGAACATTATATGTCTGGGCCCTTTCTCATTTGGGTATTTTGAGGCAATTACGAAATACGCGAGCTCTGGGAAGTCTTTTAGATGTGAAGGTAAATCATGACCATGAATCTGTATTACTATAATAGTAAAATATCAGGCTGGGACCTTACTAGTTTATGAAAAATGTAGAGGAAGGTGTTGATTATAATCCCAAAAGTAAAAAACTGAAGTTTATATTTTGAGTATATATGTTGGTCAACTTGTGGGTGCTTGGAGCTTCATCTGGCTATTCCAATAAAATAGAACGGGCAAGAACTTTAGTTCTGCTCACTTCAATCCCCTGTTATATTTTCTAATCGAATACATGCATCGACCTTCATAAGGCCTGTCTTCTGACAGAAGTTATATTTAGGAAAAGTTATGTTTTTTTGCCCGGTAGGAAAGACTATGTTTATTTCTTTATTACTTTCTTTATTCTTTTTTCCCTTCTACTTTCTTTATGAAGCTTGTAGAATTTTAATGCATCACATCTCTTCCAATTAATTGAAGACTAAAACTGTTCACAGCTGGAATATTTTTTTTCGAAAACAAACTGTCTTGTATTTCCCAGTGAAACTGATTTCTTGAAAAAATTACCCACTATTTTTTTTTACTGTGCCTTTTTTCGGTAACACAATCTTATGTCATGTAGATTGCCTCCATCAAGGTTATTCGGAATAAGCAGACTCTTTTATCAGAGGGCTATGGATTTGTAGAATTTTTTTCACATGCAACAGCTGAGAAAGTTCTACAGACCTATACTGGCATTTTAATGCCCAACACGGAACAACCCTTCCGTCTGAACTGGGCAACATTTAGCACGGGCGATAAGCGTTCAGATAATGCTCCTGATCTTTCCATTTTTGTAGGAGATTTAGCTGCAGATGTTACAGATAGTTTATTGCACGAAACTTTTTCTAGTAAATATCCGTCTGTTAAAGCTGCAAAAGTTGTCTTTGATGCCAATACTGGTCGTTCAAAGGGTTACGGTTTTGTGAGGTTTGGAGATGAGAATGAAAGGTCACAGGCTATGACTGAAATGAATGGTGTTTATTGTTCGAGCAGACCTATGCGCATTGGGGCTGCAACTCCTAGGAAATCATCTGGATATCAGCAACAGTACTCTTCACAAGGTATTTAGTTCTACTTTTTGATAAGAAGGTGTGTAGTTCTAGTTTTTGATAAGAAGGTATTTGGCTCTGCTTCCCTTGTATATTTGAAGTTGGACTTTGTTACTTCAAATTTTGTGTATATATGGTAAGGCTTTATAAGAGCATCTGGGTGCTGTAGTTTTACTTCTGTTATGGCAATGAGCAGCCAAGCTGTTTATCTCCTAACATTGTTCATTTTGGTAAGTACCAGCCTGTTTTCCCATGTATTGCAGATTAAAATGATATATTTCTGGAATAGTTATAGTCATCAACCTTCTTCTTTTGATAAGCTATTCGTAATTTTCTTGTCCTTTGTGATCTATTTGTCCACCACCCGGGTAGATTGTTGCATGTCCAAACTATGATTTTATATTGTGAAAGAGGCGATCTTTGCATAACCATGGCTTGAATGTTATACTCTTTTATCTGATTATGTTTTGGTTGGGTTTGTACAGGGGGGTATGTTTCAAATGGTACACCAACCCAAGGGTTCCAATCTGATGGAGATTCTTCAAACACAACAGTGAGTCTTTTAGCTTCTCATGGTTTTAACCAATGGAGACTATCTTCTCTCTCCCCTTGGCTGACTTGTGTGTCAATTATAGATATTTGTTGGAGGGCTTGATCCTAATGTTACCGATGAAGATCTCAGGCAGCCCTTCTCTCAGTATGGCGAGATAGTCTCTGTTAAAATACCTGTTGGAAAAGGATGTGGTTTTGTACAATTTGCTAACAGGTAAACAGTTGGTCATGATATTGCTCTGCAACATTAGTGGTGGTATACTTATTATTTGACAACGAGTTGGCACATGATCCTTTTGATCTCGTGTAACAGAAATAGCGCTGAGGAGGCATTGCCGAAACTGAATGGCACAGTAATTGGCAAGCAAACAGTCAGACTTTCATGGGGCCGCAATCCAGCAAATAAGCAGGCATTGTTTCTCTCTCTTTTGATAAACCCCATCCCCAAAACAAAACCCACCTTTGTTATGTTTGGTTGTTTTTTATGAAGTACAATTATAAAGCCCCTGCCATGCCATTAGCTTGGACATATCTTTTATCAATCCTTGCTAGGGTAGTCTATGCATGTTTCACTGTTATTATATGATCGTCTTCTACAATAACACAATTGAAAAGTGAGAACTCCTGTAGTTCAGTTATTGCTTAGGAGACATTATCCAATATTCGTCAATAACCTTGGATGCCACTCATTTTATTAATATTATCTGCCACCAGTTTCCTCTTTTTCTTTTTTCTCACCACTTTGTTTTCCTTGGTTTTGATTTTCAGCAGTTTAGAACGGATTTTGGCAACCAATGGGCCGGAGCCTACTATGGAGGACCTGTTTATGACGGTTATGGTTATGCCCTGCCACCACATCATGACCCAAGCATGTATGCTGCGGCTGCGGCCGCATATGGAGCCTATCCTGTTTATGGCACCCACCAACAACAAGTAAGCTGAGCCAGCAGCTACTCCTGTGCTGCAAGGCAGGTGCTGACAGTGAGTGAATTGAGCGAACTGCATGAGTAGTTTTAGCAATCAGACTTGATGACTATAGAGTCTCTTATTCTGTAATTTGCTCGGGTCTCTGGAATTTTTTATAAAATCCCTCTAATTGTGGAGTGGAACTGAATTTTGACAACTTGAGGTAGGTATGTAAGGATTTGGTTTATCATTTTCTAGAATTACGTAATTTTAAGAGAAACTTATTCCTGGATCAACACATTGACATTGCCTCCATGAATTGAAAAGGTGCGAGACAATCTTGAGCATGCTTTTGCAGAAGCTGCACTTCTGTGTTGCTATCTTGTGGTGTGTGTGCTTTGAATTGTCACCAAACCTAGTATGGATCGATGAAGCATGCCTAGGAAACTGTCAAACAGAAAAAGCATTAGTATGAAGCTTTTTTTTGCTGGTTACATTGGAGAAAAGAAACCCCTTGGGCCTCGGGGAAATGTAAATTGTTCTCCGGCACATCTGTAATCCAGACTGGAGAATGAGATGGGGCTAGCTAGAAAATGCAGGTATATTTTTTATAATTAGAATCATTAACTTGGAGGACAGGAAATAAAATATTGCGTTAGAGCATAATGTGCGTAGCATGTGTTAATGATAACAGACAACAATTATCAGTCTATCATCATTGTGCATTGTGCAGGTCCCAAGCTTATATATATTTTTTTTTACAGCTGAAATCAACGTACGAGGGGCCATAATAACGCTTAAACTCACTCAACAGTCATATATCGTAAAAAGCAGAGTTTCAGAAAACACATATAATATATTAGGGTAATGGAGCTCGCAAGTGTTGGAACCATGGGGCGCACAACACCCCAGAGTTGGGTTGGGGCAATTGGGACACATGGGGACCCGAATTTAGCAAAACCCTAAGTAGTGGACGAATTTGATACGAAGGGTACGGTACGGAGACGAAGATAAAAAAGCTAGCGATTTTGAAACTCCTCCTTTAGGGTCATGCTAGGGATACTTGTTGGAACCATGGGGCGCACAACACCCCAGAGTTGGGTTGGGGCAATTGGGACACATGGGGACCCGAATTTAGCAAAACCCCAAGTAGTGGACGAATTTGATACGAAGGGTACGGTACGGAGACGAAGATAAAAAAGCTAGCGATTTTGAAACTCCTCTTTTAACTGTCTGCACTTTAACTTGAATATCTTACTATTTTCTTTGCACTCGCTCTCACGGGTAAAATGCATAAAGACTAAAGCAAAATATGCCTTAACCAAATCAATCGCAACTTATCAAGGTTACACAATTTAAGCATAACTTATCAGCATGACGCAATCCTAGTAATGTCCACATCAAAGAAACTATATGGTTTTAAACATCCATTTCTTCATATCAAATTAGGTTCAATTTATTTTCTTATCAAAAAATTTTATTTAAATTCAATCGCTTTTCGGAGAATGATAACTACTTTCTTTTTGTGCATTTCCCTTGTAAGTTGTACCTCCTCCATTCTCCTTCCCATTATGCATTGTTGTATGATTATCGAAATCATTCATTGTTGATGTCATCTTTCAAACTTATTTATGCAACAAAATCAATCAAATTGGTAATCATTTGATTAAGTATTGTTAATCAAATTATTTAGTTCTTCTCATATTTATGAGCAGTGGCGGTTCTACAGCCAGGGCAGGGTAGGCAGCTGCCTACCCCAATTTTTTTCACTTAAAAAAAAACTTATATATAAACAAGGTTATTTCTAGCCATCACATGTGATAGTGTAAACTTTTGCCTACCCAGCCCATGTAAAACTACCCACATGTGTTATAGCCCATTCAAACTTTTTTTTTTTAAAAAGGGAAACAATTTTTACCAAACTACTTTCTTTTTGTGCATTTCCCTTGTAAGTTGTACCTCCTCCATTCTCCTTCCCATTATGCATTGTTGTATGATTATCGAAATCATTCATTGTTGATGTCATCTTTCAAACTTATTTATGCAACAAAATCAATCAAATTGGTAATCATTTGATTAAGTATTGTTAATCAAATTATTTAGTTCTTCTCATATTTATGAGACTAAACGATTTATAATTTAGTTGATATTTTGCATAGATACACATTTCCATCATCAATTCACGTTGCAAGATGAGAAAGAGATAGGAGGTACAAGGGTAAATGTAACGTTCTTCTTCAAATTTTTAGATGTTAAAAAATTCAATAAAAATTACTTTAGGCAACGGTGGGACATTAAAAAACAAGGAATCCTGTCCGACCATTTAAAAAAAATATCATATAAAATAAATAAATAAAAATGGCGTGACTACGTGCCGCACAATCATTGCTCAAAAGACAAGCACATGATTTAAGCTAATTGGTTGGATGCTCGGAGGACAGGCCACAGCCATGTGACACATCCATCCAAGAACTACCATGCGTCGCATATATGTATTTCCACGTGTCATACTCTGGCCGTTTGGGTCAGTTTACTTAAAGTGGACTAATTTATAATTTCAGACGCTAAGCAGAAGATAAGCTTAATTAAACAAATTAATAGAATAATTAGATTGCTATACTCAATATGGTAATAGCTGGCCTTTGCGCGATCCTCTCTGTGCAACACGTTTCCAATGGCACACCTTTCTCTTTCCTCTCTTTCCTCTCTCTCCTCTGCTTCCTACTCACTTTCTTGTCCGCTAATTCACCGGCGAATCTTCGTGGTTGCTTCTAGAATCCAAGCTTCTTCTTCTTCTTCTTCAATCTCCAATTCGAATTCGACCCCCAAAGTCGTCGTCACCAGAGAGCGCGGCAAGAATGGCAAGCTCATCAGCTCTCTGGTATGCATTTCTCTCTGTCTCCGCCATTTTCGTTTTGAGATATTCTTGAGGTGCTGGAATTTAGCTGTTCCGATACCCTGTTCTCTTCGATTTCTAGGGTTCTACATTTTGATTCTCTGTCGTTTTCGAAATCTTATCATGTAAATACTCTGCATTTGTTATTAATTGATGTTGTCGAACTATGCAAATCGTTTTAAATGTTTATGCCCGCGATTTGGCTCCGAATTGCCAGCGAAAGGTGTTTGATTAAATGTGAAAGTGATTGCCAATGTGCGGCATTTTCTTTTTTAGCATTTTAAATCTTTAATTTTTATGTTTTGGCATTTTCACTGATTTTCGAATTTCAATTCTCTGATTTTCTCCTAGACTGACACTGAGTTGTTTAAGTGTGAAAAATGGATTTTCACACTTTAAATCAATAATCAGTAGCAGTAGCATTGCTTGGCTTTCTGGAATATCATATCCAGTAGACATATTTTTGAGCATCCAAACAATGCATATGTATACATTATTAATGTATGTGTCTATATGTATGTATGTATGTATGTATGTATGTATGCATGTTTCTATGTATGTATTAATATTATGTACTTGTAGCATATAGGCTGCGTTGGCTGATGAGATATTCAAATGTCGAATACAGGCCAAGCAGGGAATCAGCTGTTTGGAGCTTCCCCTCATTCAGCATACACGGGGGCCTGATCTGGATAGACTTCCTACTGTATTAAGCGGTAACTCTCCAACTTTATTCTTTATTTTTGTTTGTGATGTGAAGCAGTTTTGCAGATAATGCCATCAGATTATATGATAAAAAGACCTGTCTTCCCTATTACAACATGCTGGAGTAGCTATTAATTACATAGCTTTTTCCTTCTGTCACTCAGTCTACTGCCTCATATTCTTATTAAACCCATTCTGTCCTTTTGCCCCAAACTTCAACTGCATCTTTCTTTCTCTTTTTCTCCATTTTCATCTTTTAAAGTTCTAGTTATGTTTTGTGTATGAAAAAAAACGTTTGCATGAATTGCCTTTATTAAATCACATGCTCAGCTAGCATAGTCCAAACAAATGTACTAACATTTTCTACTAACATTCTTCTTTTAATGGTCCTTGTTGGCAGCAGATACTACGTTTGACTGGATTGTCATAACTTCTCCTGAAGCGGGTTCAGTCTTCTTAGAGGCATGGAAGTAAGGGATATAACTTAATAAACTAGAAAAGTGGCTAATTTTGCATTTAAAGACTTGTATTTTGTTTCTTTTTTTGCTCAAATTTGACTTGAATTTGCTTTGCTTCAAACTGATAGTTTGTCCAGAAGAAGTATGGAGAAAAGGCCTTTATAAATTGTTGGCAGCAGATACTACGTTTGACTGGATTGTCATAACTTCTCCTGAAGCGGGTTCAGTCTTCTTAGAGGCATGGAAGTAAGGGATATAACTTAATAAACTAGAAAAGTGGCTAATTTTGCATTTAAAGACTTGTATTTTGTTTCTTTTTTTGCTCAAATTTGACTTGAATTTGTCTTTGCTTCAAACTGATAGTTTGTCCAGAAGAAGTATGGAGAAAAGGCCTTTATAAATATCCTTTCTAGTATAAACGTTGTGGATATTTTCTATTCTCCAAATTAATAGACTTTGCCCTGTTATTGGCCTTTAGGGCTGC